TCTTGCTGTATCTTACAGTATCAACATAATACTTTCAAAATAAGACTACGACAATTACTACAAACCATAAAACTACTAAACGCAGTCTTAGGAATGAATATACAGTCAAATGAGTTAAATATTTTCTCTGTGTGGTTATGCCATGGGCTTGATATATACCTAACATTCCATCCAGTTGTTTTTTCAGTTTTTAGGGATTTTTTCCCCTTTACTTGTTAATTATTAAACATTACGTGGTTCCCAAGTCAATGGTATGAGACAAGGTACATGCAGAGACTATTATCTTCCATTCCTGTCCCCTGCATTCTGTTCCTCCTTTCCTCTATAGGTAAGTATTTTTATTGTGATTTTTTTTTTCACCCATGAGTAATTTAGATGTATTGCTTAAATTTCCAAATATTTGAGGATTTTCCAAGTATTCTATTATTGGTTTCTAGGTTACTTCCATTATAGTGTGAGAATATGTTGTAGATAATTTTAATTCTGTTAGATTTGTTAAAGTTTGTTTTAGGGTCCAGAAATTAGTGTGTCTCGATGAGTGTTCCAGATGTACTTGAATGCGTTTAAGTGTTGCTGGGTAGAATGTTCTATGAGTGCCTGTTAGGTCAAATTGATTGCTAGGTTTGTTTATGTATTCTGTAACTTTACTGTTTTCTAGGGTCCTATTTTTTCTGCTACTGAAAGAGGAGTGTTGAGATCTCCAGCTGGAATTGTAACTGACTTCAGTTCTGTGAGTTTTTGTTTCACATATTTTGAAGCTCTATTTTAAGTGCATACATCTTTAGGATTGTTGCCTTCTCGATGAACTGACCCTTTTATTATTATGCCTCTTTTTATCCCTTATAAGTATTTCTTGTTCTAAAGTCTACTTTATCTGAAATTTTTTGTTCTAGAACCAGTTATTTTAATATAAATTTATTTATTTTATTTATTATTTTTGGCTGCGTTGGGTCTTCATTGCTCCGAGCGGGCTTTGTCTAGTTGTGGCGAGCGGAGGCTACTCTTTGTTGCAGTGCACGGGCTTCTCATTGCAGTGGCTTCTCTCATTGCGGAGCACGGGCTCTGGGCGTGTGGGCTTCAGTAGTTGTGGCTTATGGGCTCTAGAGCTCAGGATAAGTTGTGGCGCACAGGCTTTGCTGTTCCACGGCCTGTGGGATCTCCGCGGACCAGGTCTTGAATGTGTGTCCCCTGCACTGGCAGGCAGATCGTTAAGCACTGCTTCACCAGGGAAGTCTGATTTGTATAATTTCTAATGAGAAGTTGGCTGTCATTCTTATATTTGTTCCTGTGTATGTAATATGTCTTTTTTTTTTCTGGCTGCTTATGTAATTTTTAAGAAAGTTCAGTATTATTATTGTATGTGTATTTTCTTCTGCTTGGGGTTCTTTAATTTCCTAGAATCTGTAGGGTTATAGTTCAAATCCAGCTGATAAATTTTGGCTGTTTCTCTAAACATTTTTTTCTGTCTCCTTTGGAATCCAACTGACACATATTTGAGACTACTTAATACTGGAGTCTCTGTGTTTGTTTTGTTTTGTCTTGTCTTGTGTGCTTTTCTCCCTGTGCTTCAGTTTGCATAGTTTCTATTGCTGTCTTCACATGTACTGATGTTTCCTGTCAGTGTCTAATGTGCTTTTACTCCCATCCAGGGTATTTTTCACTCCAGATATTGAATTGTTCATTTCTAGAGACTCCATTTGCAACTTTCTTATATCTCCCATTTTTCTTATGTTCATTATCCTTTACATTCATTTTTCTTTTCTTCCTTTTTTTTTTCTTGCGGAACTCGGGCCTCTCACTGCTGTGGCCTCTCCCATTGCGGAGCACAGGCTCCGGATGCGCAGGCTCAGCGGCCATGGCTCACAGGCCCAGCTGCTCCGCGGCATGTGGGATCTTCCCGGACCGGGGCACGAACCCGTGTCCCGTGCATTGGCAGGCGGACTCTCAACCACTGCGCCACCAGGGAAGCCCTCCTTTACATTCTTGAACATATTTATAATAGCTGTCTTTAAGGTAGTCATCTGCTAATTCCGTGGTCTCTCTCCTTTCTGAGTCTGTGGCTATTCACTTTTTTCCTCTCCTGGTTATGGGTCATTTGCTTGCTTCTTTGCCTGCCCAGTAATTTTGGATTAGGTGATGAATGTTGTAAATTGTATGCTGTCACATGCTGAATTTTCTTGTTGTTCCTTTAAAGAGTGTTGGGCTTTGATCTGGCAGAAGTGAAATTATTGGTGGATCAGTTTGATGCTTTCAAGGCTTGCTTTTAAGGTCCAGAGGCAGCCTTTACTCTAGACCTGATTGAAGATACACCATTGACGCATGATCTTTCTTAGGACTCGACCCAGTGCCCTTTGTATCCTGAGGCTGTTGCACTCTGGTTCTTGGGAACGTGAACTACTCGCCCTCTGTTGAGTTCCAGGAATTGCTTGGCCCACTGCTGTTTGGTCACGAGAGTTTCACCCTTCCCATAAGCAGGTTAGTACTTGGTCAAAAGTCTAGGAGACCCTCCTGCAGATCCGAGGAGCTGGCTATCTCTGAGCAGCTCGCTCTTCTCTAGTACTCTGCTGTGTAAATGCTACCTTTGCCTTTCTGAACTCTCATCTGTCTTTTTAACTCAGTGAGGCGGCTCTGGATTCGATTTCCCTGCCCTTTCCTGGGAACTGCCTCCAGGAAGAAAGCTGCGGCCATTGTGGTGCTCCCTTCCCATGCCCACTTTTTCCTCTTCTTCCAAACACTGCCTGTTGTCCTACGTCGGAAAGCAGTTGTTTCATGGATTTTGTTTTTCTAGTTGTTAATGGCTTGAGGGAAACTCTTGGAGCTGTGAATCCTTCATGTGTGGAAGTGGAAATCTCTCCGTTATGAATGGTTTGGCCGTACTCCTTGATGTTTCAGTTTGAGGTGCTACCTTAATGTCATCCAGGGGTTTCTTTTGCTATCCTAGTTGCTTTGCTTTTGTGAGAGGATTGAAAATCAGTGTGGCTGCTACTGCCATCTTGCCCTAACTAGAATTCTCTGTATATCTTTTAAATTACCCTTACATTCCTCTCATTTGGGCTTGGCAACTGCCCTGAAGATGGACACAACATGGCACTGCACTTGGTTGGCCTGTTTTGTTGTAACAAGTTGGAGGTATTTCCCTTACCCCAGGAATGGCTAACATGTTACCACCCTAAGCATAAACTGTTGACAGTGGTAATTTCATTTACTTCCAGATTATTCGATGGGATGGTGTAAGCTATAAACACAGCCTATGGCCAGGAGCCCAATAAACTATCACTAACCCACTGTGAGACATGGGACCAGTCCCTTCTCATTATTCATTTGTATATGGCACTGTAAGGAGGACCAGGCCTGCCCTCGGGAGCACGGAGCTTGTTAAGGAAGGCAGATACGTAGAGCTAACTAGAATTCAGTGTAATTTGTGTCCATTGAGAAGCCCAAGCAAAGGTGTTTCCTTGGCCTTTCTTTTCGCATCTGGATAATGGAAGGGAGGGAGCAGCAATTTTCCTATTGTTCTGTGCAGGCTAGGATTTTGCGGAATGCCTTGGGAGGTCTTGTGGGCCAGGCCCTCTGTCCTCACTTGAACCAATGTAGTTCCACTTTTTCCAATTTTATATGTTATGATGTAAGATTTATTTCACAACAGGGATTCTGCTGCTGAAAAATGGACAAAGAACAGGCACAAGAGGGGTCCACACTTAGCTGTGCACAGAACCTCCTGCAGTGAGCGGCCTGACCTTTCTTTGGTGTGTGCGCACATAAAGGCCCGGCGTGAGCTCCACTCCTCGATTACGGCTGAGGAGCCCCAGCACCAGGTCGCGGATTCCAGCCTTGAGAGTTCTGATTTCTGAGCTGAGACGGATTAGGATGTCAACGCTGCCTCTGGCACGTGGCGGTGGACAGCCCAGGGCGGCTCTTGACCTTCTTGCCAGTTTCCTCACCAGTAAGTCAGGGGTATGCGCCTACACAGGTTTTCTGTGCTGCTTCACTCAGGTCTCAGTAAATCCCAGCTACTGCTGCGACTGCTGCTTCAGGTCAGTGTCCCAGGGCCTCTGGTGAAAGGTGATCCTTGGTTCAGGGTTGCTTAGGACCAGAACCATGCTTTGCATACTCTGTGCTCTAAACTGTCAGTCCCACAACAGGCCAGCCTCGGAACCCAGACTTCTTAGGCTCCAGGGATGTGATAATAGCCTAGATTGCCGTGGCCTGAGGGGAGTTTATTAGGCATTTTTTCCGTTTTTTAATTTAATTTTTATTTCATTTTAAAGTATAGTTGATTTTCAGTGTTGTGTTTATTTGAGGTGTAGAGCAATGTGATTCAGTATACACACATAACTGTGCTCACTTGGACTCTTCTCCCATATAGGTTGTGACAGAGTGCTGAGTAGAATTCCCTGTGCGCTACAATATTTCCTTCTTAATTATCGGTTTTATGAATATTAGTGATTATACGTTAATCCCAGCCTCCTCATTTGTCTCCCCCACCTTTCCAATTTAGTAACCCTAAGCTTGTTTTCTAGGTCTGTGAGTCTCTCTCTGTTTTGTAAATTAGTTCAATTGTATCGAGTTTTGGATTCTACCTATAAGTGATATCCTATGATATTTGTCCTTCTCGGTCTAAGGTCTCTTAATATGATCACCTCCAGGTCCATCCACATTGCTGCAAATGGAATTATTTCATTCTTTTCGAAGGCTGAGTAGTATTCTCGTGTATATACTTACCCACGTCTTCTTCATCCATTCATCGGTCGATGGACATTTTGGTTGCTTGCGAGTCTTGGGTGTTGTAAACAGTGACACAGTGAACGTTAGGGTGAAGCGTCTTTTCCAGTTATGATTTCCTTTGCATGTAACCCCAGTAGTGCGATTTATGGATTGTATAGTAGCTGTATTTGTAGTTAAGGAACCTCTATACTGTTCTCCACGGTGGCTGTTACCAATGTACTTTCCATCAGTGGCGCTGGACGGTTCCCTTTTCTGCAAACCCTCTCCATTATTTATTGTTTGTAGAGTTTTTGATGACGGTCATTCTGACTCCTGCGAGGTTGTACCTGGTTGTAGTTTTGATTTGCTTTTCTCTAAGTAGTAGTAATTTGGAGCATCTTTTCATATGCTTTTTTCTTTCTTTCTTTCTTTCTTTTTTTTTTGTAAACGTGATTAAAATTTAACTCTTAAAATCGGTTTGTTGTTAAGTTTGCCAGTTTTTGAATTCTCATTCCATGACCTACCCCGGGACATTTATTAGAGTAGGTGTTATTTTAATACAGCACTGCAGCCCTTGTGAACATTAAGTGCTCTTAAGCAGTGGTTTGAAAGTTGTAGTTACAGGTAATGGCCACAAGGCGGCAGGATTTCTTCATGTCGCACTCTGGTTACTGGGGTGACCAGAGCCTTAGGGCAAGTTGTATTCCTGGGTTGTCAATTAGAGTGGAATGTGCCAGCACAAACACCCAAGGGCGTGTGTCTCATTACTCCTTCTTCCTTATCCTGTGACCCCCAGATATATCCCAGCCCCCCGCCAGACTGCTATGCCGAGGGGTTGTCCTTTTCACGTGGGGTGACTCTAAGGAAGGAGGCTGGAGGTGGGATCCCCGCCATCCGAGGCCATGGAAACCTGGTGACTTTTCAAATGTCTTTCAGCCCGAGGTTCAACCGGGCTGTTGGGTCCTGTAGCCTTGGTTTAGCTTCAAGAGGGGCCACCTGGATCTAAAGATTGTGGTCCCATCTAGGGGTTACCAGGCACTCGAGAGCAAGGGGGCTTATAGCTGCCACATCCTCCCCAGCTCCCTCGGCCCCATGACAGTTCAGCCTTGGGACCCAAGTCTGCTTAGGGATGTGACAGCGGTCACGGGGGCCTGAGGGGAATAGCGGACTCATTTTTTAAAATTAAACTTTTATTTTATATTGGAGTATAGTTGATGTTTAACATTGTGTTTGTGTTAGGGGTACAGCAACATTATTGATTTATACACATACATATAATCTATTGTTTTTTGGATTTTTTTCTCATATAGGTTATTACAGTGGGCTGTGCTATAGAGTATTTCCTTGTTGATTATTTATTTTATGTATATTAGTGTGTAGATGTTCATCCCAACGTCCTAATTGACCTCTTCTTCTCCCCAGCTTTTTTATTTGGTAATCATAATTTTTTTTCCTAAATCTTTGAGCCTGTTTCTTTATTTCTTGTATTGCTAAGGAAAATTAAAAAACAGAAACAAAAGTAATCCCTATACCCCAGGAAGCAGTGCAAGGGGGGTGACATTGGTTGGGAAGGTGTAGAACATGGGGGAGTGGGGGCCTGTACCCACAGCTCTGGGTGAGTCGGAAACGTGTTTGCTATGTGACCTTGGGAAGTCACTTAATTCATGTGAACATCAGTTTTGTCCTGCTTAAGGGGTTTTTCTGTGAAAATGAACTGAAGTTATATCAAATTCATGTAAGAAGTATTTAGAACAGTGCCTGGTGCACAGCAAGACTGGTGTAAATGGTGGCTCTTTGGATAATTGAATGTCTACTATGTGCAGGTGTCCTCACGGGAGATACTGTGTTCAATCTTGACAGTGACCTGGGGAGGTGGGTATTTTACATGGGAGGAGCCTGAGAAGTTCAGTGTCGTGGGCTGGACCAGACAGCTGGTGTTCAGATTCAGGTGTGAGCGTTAAGGCCTCAGCTTTCCACCCCACCATGCTGCCTGGGGCGGGTGAGAGAGCCCGACCAGAGTGGGCGCTTAACCTCTGTTTCTGGAGTGAATGACCTAGGCAAGTGGGAGAGAAGGCTTGTGTGTCCCTTGAGAAAGGAGTAAGGCCTTGTCTTTGTGGGCGAGCATCAGGTGACCAGCATTCCCCCCAGGGCCTGGCCCCCATCCTCCCCGGAGCCCC